CTCCCTGTTTTCTTCTAGGAGTTTTATGGTTTCAGGTCTTACATTTAAGTCTTTAATCCATTTTGAATTTGTTCTTGTATATGGCGTAAGTAGGTGGTCTGAGGCTATCTTGTTTTAAAAATAAATTTTATTGCCCATGCATGTGTTATAAAAGGAGATTACATAGGGTACTAATTATAATTTAACTCTGAGAATAGAAAGAAATTGAGACGGGTATATAATTTTTTTAAATCCCATAACTTCTCAGTAGGAAGCATTAGAGTGAGTAAACTTTATTCCTTTGATTCTTATCTTGTATGGATAGAGCAACTTGCTGAACTTCGCCAGGAGTTTCTTCGACAAGAAGACCAGCTTCAGGACTATAGGAAGAACAATACTTACCTTGTGAAGAGGTTGGAATATGAGAGGTAAGGTGCTACATGCAACAGATATTTATGAATCTGGAATATCTGTCCAATTTTTGGACAATTCATTTTTTTTTCTGGCTTCTGTTTTTCTCTTCTTTTATTTTCTTAGGTCTTTTAAATTTGTTTTCTGTTGTCTTTCTCTGCCTCTCGGAAATCCATACTCTTATTTTGATATGTTAAACACCGTGAAAATATCTCTTACAAGGCATGTGGAGTCTGCCCATGTGAGACAGAAAATCTTGCCTGAGTTTTATTGAATTAGATGTGGCAGAGACTGAAAGATTAACACTGTGATTCTTTTCAAGGGGAATGCAGAAGATGAAGACACCACTGGGAGATGTCCCCAGAGTAGCTGGGGACTGAGTCCAGCTACTTCTCCTGCTCCACACTTCCATCCTCTTGCTTATACCTCTACACTTAGTTGGTGATGAGGTCAAGGAACCTCTTAGGGGCCTTTCTAGCAATCACTCTTTAAAAATGTTTATTGTATCTTTAATCAATTTTACAGTAAAATGGTTTTTTAGGTCTGCACACTAGAAATTAGCAAGATTCGCCGTATTTTAAAGCACAGTTTGTCCATTTCTGTCTTCTTACTCTTCTAGGTTATCAATATGCATCTATTACAATGTATTTTAAACTAACAGTATTCAATAATTTTCCATATACTTATAAGATTAAATATTTAACATATTTAGAGGTAATATATTACTCCAGCCTGTTAGTGTGCCAAAGCTTGTTTAATCTCTCCCAATTGCTAAACCATTGTAGTTTCCTTTTCTCACTATTATGACTATCAGCTATAAAAATCTTTATGTAAAAAGAATTTTCCCTCTCTTATGTTATTTTACTGGTGTATATTCTCAAATATAGAGTTCCTGAAAGAATATTTTATGGCTTTTGTTGCTCATATCATGTATATGAAAGATTGCTTTCTAAAATGACTATTAATTTATAATGTAAATATTTCCCCATAGCCCTACCAACATGGGCTTTTATAATGCTAACTTATTTTTGCTAGTATAGAAATAAGGTAATACCATAAATACATATACGATATTTCATTTGCATTTTAAAGGTGAAAGTGAACATTTTTCTATATGTTTATTAACTATTTGTTTTTGTATGAATGATTTATTTGTATCCTTTGACTATTTGTCCGGTGGAAAATCACAATCTTTATCTGGTTTGTTTCTTGACATTTTTCTCTTGATGGCTTCAGTTTCATCTTGTTTGTTAGTTTCTTTCATTCTTGGTTTAGACTTTTATTATTGTGTTTAAAGTACTAACTATTGGATGAATTATCTGCTGCCACTCCTCATTAGCTCTCATAAGTCTGTTACTATATATCAGTCTCACAGTTTTCTCTTCTATAGTCGTTTTCTCTTCTGTGATTGCAATTGGGTTTGACAATTTTTTTTTATAAATGCAGTCTATAAAAATAAATTTTCATCTTTTTAATTTCTGTTTTAAAATTAGTTTTATCAGTATTCTTTAACCTCTATTAAACATTGAAATCTTTTAAGAATTTTTACTGTTAGCTATTATATATTTATGTCTGCTCTTTGTCCTTCCTTGTCCACTCTCCTGCCAACAGAATGCTTTCTCTTTTTTATAAATGTATGTTTTCAACTTCTATACCAATTTGAGAATCCAACCCAAGATAATATGGTCTAAAATAATGACTTTGTAATTTAGTTTTCAGTGTGGACAACAGATCAAGGAATTAAGAGTACAGCATGAAGAAAATATTAAAAAGTTAGCAGACCAGTTTTTGCAGGAACAAAAGGTAAATTAAAAAATACTTAAAATATGTCCTTGTTATAAATCTTGTAATTCATAAATTAAAATAGGTACTTTTGTCATATTGGGTTGTCGGAAAAGTCAGGACATATTTTTTCTATGTTTTTCGTTGCAAAAATGTGTCATGACTTTTCCGACAACCCAATAAAACATTGCATTTTTAAGTATTCTAGCCTGCCTAATTCTAAAATGACTTGTAGTGACTTTATTGCCGAGTAAATTAGGTATTTGCAAAAATATAACTTGAACTCTTAAAACTAATTTTGAGTTAAATATCTTTTACCTGACTTTTAAAAATAATTTCTGCTGTTAATCTATTTCCCAGATTGTAAAGTGGAAAGCATTTTACTGAAAAATCAATTACTTCCTATTTTTATGCTTTTGAGAAATAGAAAAAAAATTGAGAACCTGTCCCCTTAATTATAAATATTCTGAATTCCTTTCTTAAAACACAGAAATGAAATACTGGCCACTATTTTGATTCATATTTTGGGGGTTGGCAAATTCTTTTATTAATGTATTCATTTTCAGTTGATATATATTAAAAGGCCCTGCTAGAAATGGAGGGAATTTGAAGATTAGTAGTCATTATTGATAGAACATGCATGTTTTTATACCCTGTAATTTCATCTGACTAGCTGTGGTTTGTATAAAGTCCTGTGATTTAAAGTAAAGAGAGGTTGAATTGTGAAAAATATTTACCTTGTTCTTTGGTAGCATCTTCCCTAAAGGACTAGAAGTTAAAGAAACCAGATTTTCCTTCTTAACTGTTTCACTATTTTACAGCATGATATTGAGGGCATCGTTTTTTCTCTATTTCATTTTTGAATCTACAAAGTGAAATAGTTACTGCCTGTCTGCAGAGATGTGAAGATTGATTAATTGCTGGAAGATGGCAGGCCTGAGTGAGCTAGTGGCATAGAGGCCTTGAGGACAACCGGAAGGTCTTATTGAGACACCGGATGGTTAGAGGAGCATAGTAGAAGGCAAAAGGAAGGGGAAGAGAGGTTTGCTCTTGCATTTGTGTTATCACAAGCCCATATAAATAATGGGGTAAATTTGCTCTGTTCTGTTCTTCTAAGAAGCACAGATGAGAGCTTTTCCCTTTTTCCAGGCAAGTGTAGTTCTCTCTTTCTGCTCTTCTATACTAGGCTATTTTTATATTATAATTAATTAACATCCTCTCCAATTTTTCTTTGCCATTAACCTGCCCAAAGTGGAACAAGGCGGGGAGGAATGGAGATGCTTAGAGAACTTCCCCTTACCCTTCAGACCAGCTGCCTAATTCTTCCCACCCTTTCTTTATTCCTTGTTCTTAAACTACTATAACAAGTATATTCTATGAAATTTGAGTTGTTTTTTTACTTAGGAACAAATCCAATGTAAGCTATATGAAACAAGCATAAGTTATATTCAGGGTTTTGTTTGTTTGTTTGTTTGTTTGTTTGTTTAACCAAGCACATACCTATTTCATAATGGGAAAATTTTAAGAAATTCACACTTTCATGTATATAAATACAATCTTATTGGAACATAGTCACACTCATTTGTTTACTGCTTTCACGCTACCAAGGAAGAGAAATTGTTGTATATCAGAGGAGACTAATGAGACCTGGGGACGTAAATGCAGTGTAGTATCCTGAATCGGATCCTGGAATGGAACAAGGACTTAATGATAAAAGTGGTGAAATCTAAATAAAGTCTGGAGTTTGGTTAGTAATATACTAATGGTGGTTTCTTAGTTTTGTGAATGTACCATGATATTAACATTAAAGGAAATTGAGTGAGGGATAATTACTTTTCTATAACTCTAAAATTATTTCAATATAAAAAGTTTATTTAAAAAACAGGTGGCCTTATTACCAGATCACCAGCATTGCATTTAGAAAGCTATCTTATTTTATTAAGAATGTTTAATATCCATTCACATAAAGGTACTGTCATTAATTATACATCAAAGGGACACAGCATCTTTAACTTTTAAATGGAAAAGTATTTTTGAACAGTAGTTTGTTGGCCTTTGTTTAATACTGTTTGTTTTATCCACATCTGTGAAGCAGTGGAGTGTTATAGAAATAGCCTTATGATACAGCATTATAGTGAAATGCACAGAGGTGCAGGACAGCTGCTTAAGTTGTGCCTCACTGATGTTTTCACCCTTGGCCTTCATACTGACATGTTTAAAATTTTCAGTTTATCATTTCACTCAAACAGTAAGCTCTTAGATTTGACTGTAACTTACTAAGTTCCCAAAAAATGTGGGAGTGAGAAAGATTGTAGTTTGAATTCCTTCTGCACAATTCTCTAGCTTTGTAACTTTGGACAAGGTACCTAACTTCTTTAAGCCTCATTATTATTTTGTTTTTCCCAAAACTGTTCATTTATCTCTACTATAGGAGAAAGTTGAAAGCAATATGTAAACTATGAAACACGATGCAAATGTTTGTTCATTTTATCCGCCAGGTACACTGGAATACCTACACCTGATTGTGAAAGCAACTTTTTTCCTTTATTGTGACAAATTCTTACAATTTGTCTCTTGTATTTGTAGATTTCCTGTAGATTTTTTAGTACTATTGTTTCTTATAACATTACTAATGATTACATTGCATAATGTTTTAGAGTTGACAAACCATTTATAAATGCATTAAATATTAAGTAGAAGGACCTATTTAGCAACCCAAGCACGTCTACTTGACACCTTGCCTCTTCCAACTTTCCACTGTGACTCAACCAATATAAAAGAGAAAACTGGCCCAACAATAGAATTGAGTGAGGCCTAACCATATACCTGAAGATTGAAGCTTCCAAGGAGATGATATGGTTAGGAACAAGTTGGAGGGAGCACTGACCTGTGTATTGTTCTGCCATTACTTCTTATGCTTGAGAGGCCAGTGCACCTGGGAAGAAGTTTACCCGTTTTCCACCCTTTCTGTTTCTGCTTGGGGAAAAGCCTGACAATGTCAGTAGTCATCTGTCACACTTGACAGGACACCGTGTGTGCCAACCTCATTCTGTCTGCATCCTGCTTGATTACAACACTTGCTTATAGAGATTCCACTCTGCCCACAGCACCCAGAACTATAGGCCTCCACAGCAACCTCTAGTGCTCAGCAAGACTCTCTCTTCTTGCAGAATCACTCCCATAGCATAGCCAAGGAGAATGACCTCTGCCTAACATTTTAGGCCATTTACTGTAATTAGAAACTTTAAAAGGTGTTGGTTATTCTTCAACTTCATATCAGGTATAAAAACTGAACAGAAAAATAATATTATATCCCACATCTCCAAGTGTTTGAAATTTGGACCCGTTGTATATGTTTCAGAAAATGAACTGTTTCAGAACATTTAATTAATAGTTGTGTTAATGATTTAATGTTTTGAACTAAAAACTATTTACTGTTACTAAATCTTTATTTAACAGCAAGAGGCCCACCAGTTTGAATTAAGAGGTGGAAATGAATTGGGTATAAACGATCATGTAGTACCTAAAAATGATCCAGAAGTAGCTGAGAATGCTGCAGAGAAGAACGAAGAACCCTCAAGCAATCATATTCCACATGGGAAAGGTATTACCATTGTTTTGTTTTGTGTTAATAGGATATTCTTTTCTCATTTTGAAGTGAACATTTTCAATCATAAAGAATACTGTTTTATTTTAGTTCAGTTATGATTTGGTATCTGTATTGTTTCAAATTTAGATCCTTTTATAGAGGAGAAAAACAGTTATTTTAGAGTTACAACTACGTTCAAATCAAGATATATATGTAAAGATATTCAGTCAGTGTAACTTACTACTTTGGAAACTGATAGTTACATTTCTTAAACACTTTCAATTTATATAAGGAAATATATAGAATTATATCTTTTGGTACTTGGGCAGAACAAATCAAACGAGATGGTGATGCAGGAATGCCTGGAATAGAAGAAAATGACCTTGCAAAAGCTGAAGATCTTCCCACGGGTAAGTAAAAGTTATTAGAATGTTTAACTAAAACAATAATATTATTTTTCATATGACCCTATTTTCTTTTTAAGTAACATTTGAGAAAAGTCACAGATAGCTGTATGATTGATATTTCCAGTTAAGTAACTACCCATTCATTGCCAGGACTTTTTGGATATAATTTTTATGAAAAATTTTGCTAAAATGTATAAAGAACTTGTTTTTGCCTTGATAAGAGTCAGCCATATTTGAACCTTTTGTTGATTACTCAGAGTTATTGTTCATGACAGTTGTGCTATAGTAGAACTATTTATGTTTATTAAAAGTATATATGGCTCATTTCTTTCATACTAAATGTTCCTGGATTGTTGTGTGGTATGGCATAGTAATACCCTTGCATAGGTTTTTTAGGACTTGGTTTGTCCTTTCAGTTAATTATGCCACACTTTAAAAAGTTTATTCACAATTTTTTTCTCACTTCTGCTCAGTGTATATCTCTTCATTAATGTGTGTGTTTCTTAGCCATTTCTATTTGAAGTCTATATCACCGCTGCTGTCCTAATCCTATTCAGTTTTTCTTTTTTCATGTCTCTTTGTTTTTCTTGCCATTTCTATGTTTCTTAGCTCTCGTAGGTTTTTCCTCCCTGCTGACTCCCAATTTATTATGTTGAAGAATCGCAAGTAACAGCATGTCTGTGATTCTTCTCGGCTGTTTTTATTCCTTTTCAATCTCAGTAATCACTTCTGTGGTTACAGCTTATTGTATGTGGATGAAATGCTGAGTGTCTGAGGTCCAAATGATTGAAGAATTAGTCCTTTCATTTGTATGGTTTTGTTATCTTCTCAAACTCTTTTATATCTGTATTCTTTTGAGTTCTAACTCACAGTATACTCTCCTAAAATAAAGGTAACAATAGCACGAGTTTAAAAATATGGAGTTAGAATGGGCATGATTTGTTTGCAGTGAAGTTATCCAGTAATTCCTAAAGTGTGTTGCTTGGACCAGGAGTGTCAGCATGACCCAGGACCTTGTTCAAAATGCAGATTTTTAGGTCCCATTTCAGACCTACAGAATGAGAAATTCTTGCATTGGAGCCCAGCAATGTGTGTTTTGACAAACTCTTCAGGTGATTTTGGTCTATGCTAAAGTTTTAGAGCCATTGGCTAGACATTAAAGAAATGTTCAGAGCAAAGACCATATATTGGTCTCAATTTTTGCAGCACTTACTCTACGAGTATTACTAGACTTACTGAGTTTAGGTTGATTAATCACTTTTACATGGCCCTTGTTTATATCTTAAGCTACACCTAAAGCTTTGCCAAGGATAAACTGTAGCTTTCTAATATATAGAAGCACCCTATTCAGATACATGACCGAAGGTTGTTCATCATCTTGCATACATTTTTCATGTCACGTATCTACAAAAATGTATTTACATTTAAATATATAATTTTAAACTTCTGTTGTCCATTTCAAAATTTAAGTTTTCAAGTTAAATTTTTATCGTTACTACCCTAAGTGTATAATGTCTCAATTTATTTTCTCATTGGTCCACTGTCATAATTTATTACCTGCCACCAGGAAATTCCAGAGTTAAGGTTAAATGAAATGGGAATGCAAGAGGTGTAAGAGATTTTTATCTCGACCATTTTTAGATATATTGTCCTTATCAGACAGTGGTTTTCAAATGTCTTTTATACATGAACAACTTCAGCAGGGCAAAAATCCTATCTTGCTGCTTCCGCTTGCTTAAAAAAGTAGCATACAACCAGTTCATTAGAATTAAAAAGGATGAATGATGCTACTTTTGATTAGATGCCAACAAATTCAAATCTGAATTTTACAATATGAATTTTTTATATTAACTCCTGTAATGGTGATAACACTATAATTTAGACCTGGGAAAAAAACACCAAAAATGCATGTATTTTATATAAATTTAGCATTAGTGCCCAAAACTTCTGTATATGCAGACACTGTCTACAGTGTCATGGCACATTAGAAGCCTGAGGCCTTCCTCTGGAATAATTTTTCTTTCCCTTTTTTTTTCTTTAAACAAATCAATAGTTTATTTGGGGTCTTAAAGGATTTGAATTCAGGAGGCAGAGATTCAGAGAAGACCTGAAACCTGAAACCTAATTTTCTTTATATTTGATTTTCTGTAATTTGAAAATTCTATGCTGTGATACAGGTTTTTGGAGTTTTTGTTCTTGTTGGGTTTTTCGTTTCGTTTTTTTGTTTGTTTAAGATTTTATTGGGGAATTGGGGAAGGGGAACAGTGTTGGGGAATCGGTTAAAGGGAACAGACAAGTTGTTGTCCTTTTGTTCTTCAGTCTAGTTGTAGAGGACATCAATTCACTGGCCCATCTTGATATCATTGCGCTCTTCCCGGGTGAGGCAGATCAGTCGCTGGCCGCTGGATGGCCACTCACGGTGCCTCTTGGCAGCTCATGCTGGTTGCAGGCTGCTCATACTGATTGCCAGTCACTCACAGTAGCTTACGGCAGCTCACTGCAGCTCTGCTGCAGCCTACACCGTCACTGGTGACTCACAGCAGCCCAGCTCCAGGTCCAGCTGTTGTTCATCATCTTAGCTGTAGAGGGCACAGCGTCACTGGCCCTCATGTGGGATCAGAACCGGGGCCCTGCTGCTCAGAGCTGGTGTCTCAAGCCAACCTTTAACCAACATGCCACTCGGCCGGCCCGGGTTTTTTGTTTCGTTTTGTTTTTTGGCATTTATCCTGCTTGATGATCTCTGAGCTTCCTGTATAGGTAGTTTGGTGTCTGACATTAATTCGGGGGAAATTCTGTCATTATCATTTCAAATGTTTCTTCTGTTCTTTTCTCTCTTCTCCTTCTAGTGTTACACATATGTTACACCTTTTGTAATTTTCCTAGAGACTCTGGTTTTTTTTCCCCCCAGTCTTTGTTCTGTTTGCTATTTTGTTTCTGAAGATTCTATTGATATATCCTGTAGCTCAGAGCTACTTCCCTTAGGTGTGTCCAGTCTACTAATAAGCCCATCAAAGACATTCTTCATTTATGTTACAGTGGTTTTGATCTCTAGCATTTCTTTTTGGTTCTTTCTAGGATTTCCATCTCTTTACTAATATTATCTATCTCTTCTTGCATGGTGTCCACTTTATCTGTTAGAGCTCTTAGCATATTAATCATAGTTATCTTAAATTCCTGGTCTGATAATTCTAGCATCTCTGCCATGTTTGGTTCTGATGCTTGTTCTGTCTCTTCAAATTATGTTTTTTGCCTTTTGGTATGACTTGTAATTTTTTCCTTGTTAGCTGGACATGATGTACCAGGTAAAAGGAACTTCTGTAAATAGGCCTTTAGTAATGTGGTAGTGAGGTTTTCTCAGATTTTTTTCACACCCCTCCCCCCTCCCCCTGCTTACGTGGGACAGGATGACTAGAGTGGGCTCTAGTTGGTTATAGTCATGCGCAGCTTAACAACTGGATCCATTCTGAGAAATGTGTTGGTAGGTGATTATTGTTGTTGTGCAAACATCTTACAGTGCACTTACACAAACCTAGATGGTCTAGCCTACTACACACCTAGGCTATGTGGTATAGCCTACTGCTCCTACTCTACAAGGCTTGGTATAGCCTACTGCTCCTACTCTACAAGGCTGTATAGCATGTTATTCTATAAAACAACAGAAATAAGTCAAGTACAAGAGAAAATTATGCAATCGAGATGTAGTAAATATGAGATGTATGAGGCCACTGCTGGCATAACAGCATACCGTTTTACAGCAAACTTTTTTTTAATAGTAGAAAGAGTATACTCTTAAGTAATGATAACAGGTATAGCCTAGTAAATACATAAACCAGTAAGATTCATTATTATTATGAAGTATTATGTACTGTACATAATTGTATGTGCTATACTTTTATGACTGGCAGCTCAATAGGTTTCATTACATCAGCGTCACAACAAACACAACAAACATGTGAGGTGCTTTAGTGTTGCCACAGCTATGACTTCACTAGGCAACAGGAATTTTTCAGCTCCATTATAATCTTATGGGACTACCATCATATATACAGTCCGTCATTGACCAAAATGTCATTATGCAGCACATGAATATATTTCCCTTCCTCAAGTCTCTTAGGCTCTAATAATACCCCAGCAGGTTAAGCTCTGTTTAACCATTTTTTCCTGAGGGCAGGCCTTGGTAAGAATGCAGTGCTTTGGTGTATTTCAGCATGGTTCCTTTTCCCCTGACCAAGGAGATTTTTCTCCAGTATTTAGCACTGGAACCTAGTGGAGTTCCTGGAGATCTCACAATATTGGGGGGAAGGGGGTTCCCCCTATGACTGGGTCACCTGAAGTTTTTAAATTTCTGAGCTGTCCACACTGAGCTTCCACCAATTCGACAATTACAGTTCAGGTTTTCCTGCCCTGGCACTGGTTCCTGTGGCAGTTTCTGTTTATGAGTTTCCCCTGTAATCCATGACTTCCTATATTCGCCTGATTGTCTCTCCAGTCTTGGGGCAGTGGCTTGCCCTGTGTCCTTTCTCTTAGGAATCCAAGAAGAGTTGTTGATTTGTCAGCCTGTTTAGCTTTTTACTTGTTAGGACAGAGTGACGACTTCCAAGCTATCTGCATGTGGAACCAGAAACAGGAAGTCCTCTGGATTAATTTTTTGAATCTCTTTAAATTGGTGGTGCTTTGCTTTAGAAATCATGGTTTGTATCAGTTATCCTTAATTATTTAGAGAAGTATTTTGAGTATAAAGTTTATTTTGCTATAGTTACTGGTAAAAAGAAACTGAGCTATGTAGTCAGTCAGATAGATGCAAACACAAAGGAAAGCCATGTCGGATCTCTTTGTACCTTGAGTTTCCAGCATGGTGCCTTGCACATGGCAGGGTCCCAGCAATGCACAGGTTTAATTCCCAAAATATCCTTAGTGGTGAGGCAGTGGTCTCTGGAATCAGATTGCCCAGATTCAGACACTTGGCTCTACCTTTTAACAAGTGTATCACCATTTATTTGTCC